TCTCCTGGCTATCTGTCCGGTACCGACGTCTTCATTTTTCCGTCGCAGCTTATCTCACAGCTATCTGAATTACCGCGACGTTTCATAGTGGACGTCATGAGGTGGTCTTATTTGGACGTCTGTCACTCAGTTGTGCGCCCGTATGGTCACGCTGCATCCCCTCTCCACTCTCACTCTCCCTTCCCCGTCCCCAGCTCAGTCATGGCCCTCGCTGTGCTGCCCGTGGCAGTGCAATGACACCCTTCCTCGCTTTCTCACTTACCTCCCCTCCCCTCCTCGGGGTCACCTACGGTCCACACTGCCCGCGGCAGTGACAGCCGTACCAGCACGTGCCGCGGGCCGGCCCTTTGTGACGTCATTCTCTCTCACTATTAGACGCCGTGTATATATATGTGTGCGTGGGGGGAGGGGGGGGGTCGTGTCGTGCAGGCCCTGTCGTGGCTACACACCGATCGAGCTGATTGGGAGACGGCCCTGGTACGACGCCCGAGGCCAGCCCCGACCCGGCCCGAGCGGGTGTTTATGTGCACGGTGCTGGTGTAATCGTCTGTGTGCACGGCGCCGGTGAAATCGGCTCACCCGTGTGTCGGTATGGTGTGTGTGTGCCGTTCGTGTACAGGCGTCTGAAACAGGACTAGCCAGACGAATTTGACACCATTCTAACCGTTTTCTGTTCAGGCAAGTCTCTCTATATACGCCGTTGGCTTGCAAGCGAAAGAATGGCTGTGCAGGCATATACATATGAACGAGCATAATGTATATCCCAATACGTGATAAATGGGGAGGCAGGAAGCTGATTTTTGACATGTTTTCACTTAACGATTGCTGTTTTCTGATAACCTGATCGAGCTGCTGACATTTACCTGCTGAGCGAAGTGCGAGGGTACAGAGCAGGGCTGTTCGTTATATGCTCAATTGTTTGCACTTGGCTTATACACTGTATTCAGGCTATGGAATTAAACACCAATATAACAACTCTCCCGAACTGAAGCAATTTGCTGAGGCGGGTTCATTAGTCGCGTGAGCGATGTGCTCTTAGCTCAAGAGAGATAACCAGAATTTCGCTAAGGCTCGCGATCAACGTGCTCGTTATCATATTCCACTGACTTGGAGTAACGAGTTGCACGACTTGCACCTTGGTGCGGTGTGTGGAACCGGCTCTTACACTACGCAGGAAGCGTACCTTCAACAAGTATCAACTGAATGGAACCTATAGACTCCTGTTTACCTATATCACTGATTGGAACCACAGCTCGCTTTGATTTCGCGAAAATGAACGGTTTCTGTCCAGCTTATTATAATACATTGGCATTCATGGCACAACGCACATTTATGTGACAAACTTTGAGGTTCAGTTGTATTGTGCCATAAAATTTACAGCTTACATTCTATTGTAGTTAATATCCGATAGTGGAATTCGGCTCTCGCACCGAACCAAGAGATAAAACTAGGACGTGTCCCCGCAACTGAACACGTTTGGCCCGTCTCAATGGCCATTTTGGTGTGAGTTCGGCTCCCGTTACTGATTGCAGCCATCCCTGACCGGAGTTGGGGATGGAGCGCCAAGTTGGCCCGCACCGGCCCGTCACCAGAGGCTACACTGCTCGCTAGCCCGTTCCGAACGTGGATTGGTCCTTAAATTCATTGGAATAATGTGGAGTATTTTTTCAATGCTTAAATTACACCAGCAAAGGTCTGCCTTGAGATATGATTATCATGACCAGTGTTATTCCTTTGTACTTCTCTGTATTTTTTTCTGTTGTGCTATTCATATACGGACTATCGTGCTTCTATTAGGTTATGTGGCTGTGATTACAGGTCGTCGGCGTGGGTCTATTGACCATCGTGAGCACCTATTTCTGTGGCCGACATGAAGCCCCCTGGGACCTCGGGCCACGTGACTGCGGATTGGCCGCCGCCCCAAGACATACCTCTGAGTCACACATTAGCACGTGATCCTATTGACTCGGTGTACAATATTCACCGTAAGTTGACTGAGCGTGATTAATGTGACCGATGTCGGATTCGCCAGTGACACTAATGAACCACTTCGATGGAGGGATACCGCAGATCGTGCAATGCAGAGAATTATTTCGCAGGTACGGGGAAAATCGGTACGATAGGGCTACTTGGCCCACAGTGGAAGCACAGATGACAGATTAGTGTTTTCGAAACACTGAAGTGCATGCATCGATGCGCCTTACGTTTGATATGCTTAGTAGGGTTTTAATCTTAGCACACTTGGGATGGTTTGCAAAATCGGGAACGTCGTCCATCGGGACGTTATGTACGATATGATCGTAAATCAACGGTAGACGCTCCTTAGACGTTCCTCCATATTCGCTACATTTTGCGATACGGGAGCTATGGAATCGTTGTGACTGTGAGCCGGTCATTGGCCATGTGTGCCAATCAGACTGAGTGTCTGCAAGTATGGATTTATCGGGGTATATGGGGCGCTACTTCAGAAGCATTCATGCCAAGTGCTTTTCATATCACATCGACTGTTTCCTCCCCTATTGCACACTGAATGGTGAGAGGCTAGGCACTGGCAATTATTGCTCCTGGACGTTTTATCGTGAATATCTTTTTTTATGTAAAATTGCTTCATTTGTAAGAGTGTGGCCCTGTACTGTGGGCATTCCTTATTGACCCACGATATTGGAAGGGCTGCCAAGTGAATGGCCCATCACAGGCACATGTTGCCTATCTTACCGACGTGAATATTTACATTATTCTCACCTTCTTATTGCCAGGGAATGAGCCCCTTGACCGACCCCCGCCACCCTCAGCCTTTCACTCCTTCCCCCGGTGCGCCCCCAGGGTCCGACCCCTGACGTCAGCAGTGCCCGCTCGGCGTGTGTTGGGTGACGCGGCTGGCAGTGAGGGCACCTTGTCTCGGGCACGGTGGGGCACCATCGGTCAGCGCTGCCACTCGTGGCGGCCCGGCCCGCCCAATACGTGACCGCCGCCATTATCGGCACGGAGCCCGGCGCGCAGTGGATGGCCTTTTTGCTGATGTGATCCGTTTTCGCCGCTCCTACCTGGGTGTCAGGGTGGTGGGCTTATGGGCCGGAGGAATAGTGCAATGTGCACATGTATACTGCATCAGTGAGCTTTCATCTGACGGCTATGGGCCTAGTTCATCTTGTTGTTTGCGAGTCATACTTCCCACTTTCCAGTCGGCGGCCGTTCGGGTCGTACCAGCCTAGCTGTAACCCAGTAGGAGGCACTGGGAGCAGACCTCCAGGAGCTGCTCCCAGTTCACTGCTCTCCCAAGTCCGCCCCGCCGGCCCCACTGTGTTTTAGCCGCGGTCTGGTACTGCCACCGCTCGGCGCAAACAGCACCATTGCGGCGCGGTACTGCGGTGGATTAGGGGATTTCACCTCCGGCCCGACCCGGCAGCCGGTCTGTTTTGCCGCCGGCAGTGATGAAAGGTAGCGCCTTATTGCGGCAGACGCGGCGCACTGCCGTCCAGTGAGCGGTCAATGGGCGCGCCCCACCGTACTCGGGTGATTGCTTTCAATTTGCGTCGGTATTGTAGTGCGCGCCTTTTTTTGCGGAGAGCCGCTAGGACGGTAGCGGTGACGGCGAGTCGTGATCGCCGCGACGTCGGCTCGTTTGCGTCTGATACGCCGCGCTGGTAGACGGTATTGGTGCTGTTCGCTCTCTGAAGGTAGCATTCTCCAGGGAGGTGCTGTTGCTGGTCCTGCGGTCTGCTGTCTTTCTGCCTTCAGTCGTGGCTGACAGTTCAAGTCGCTATGCTTTACTTGTTGTTATACCAATCTACTAGTGGAATAGTTTTAATAATAAATCATACCTGTGGTATTTTCGGAAGGTTTTCTATACATAGGACATTTTCGGAATGGTCTTCGCAGTTCTTCTTTTGTGCCTTCAATACACCCACGTATTTTTACGAAATGACCAGTGGAATCGCACCACTCTCAGCCTGGCTTTCTGTATATTCCGTCTTCGTGCCCTCCTTTCGACCACGGCCGTGAGTCTCCGCCTCCCAATCCGGTTATCCCTGACGGCCACTCGGACAAGTAATGTCGTCGTTGGCCGGCGCCGTGCGCCGATTTCGCCGCCGCCTGGGCGCGATGTTTGTGCGACTCCCGTGACGGATATCCCCGTCAGCGCGCTCAGGAGTCGCCGGCGGGGCGGGGGTGGACCGTGTCCGTCCACCTCTCCGTCCGGCTGACCGGCAGCGCGCGGGACATTTGTTTTCATAGCGTGGGCGTCGGCGGCGGCTCGGCCGGTCCGCTGGGGCCGGTCGCTGCCGCGGCCCGACCTGGTGTGGGGGTCTGTTGCTAACGCCGGCTGACCGGACAACTATGGTGTAGGACGAGCTCTGCGGACGGCCGGAGACCGAAGGGAGCTAACTGGGTGACATTTGGGAGAACTGTGGGCGAGGAACCGCCCACTGCCGGTCGGAGAATGTCACGGCTTGTGTTGTGTTCGCCGCACAAAACGGGTATTGAACGGACTGATATCCGCAACACGTTCTCAGATATGGAGTGGCTTGTTATCTGCAGATTCAACTTTTTATAAACCAATGACATTCGATTCTGAGACGCTGTCCTAGCTACCGCAATAATCTCACGATTCAAATGGAGATACCGGATGTTTGTGCAGTAAAATCTTTGGTGCAACATGTCTAGATGTAAAATGAACGTTTTGCTTTCTTAGAAAAAAAATATACTCCTTGTAACGGCTATATGAATTATAACCCTGTCTGTGACACTGTGACTGTAACTTTGTATCGTGCCTTAACCTGACCCCTTATTTCACCCACCTTGACCCATGTGACCTTGTGAAGCGACCTGTGCCGCTGTTTGACCCCGGTGTCAACCTGTGATTCATTTTGACCCCGGTGTTACCTTGTGACCCCGTTTACCCGGTATTACTATTTGCCCCCGTTTGACCCCAGTGTGACCCTCTATGACTTCATTTAACCGTTGTGGCTCCGTTTGACCCCGGCGTTACCCTGTGCCCACAGAGCGTCACAGCGCCGGAGCCGGACCCCAACCTCACCATTGAGGAGTACGAGCGCACCTTTGAACAGAACGAGGAGCTGGGTCTCAACGACATGAAGGTGGAAAACTACTCGTGATGGTGACGACCGCCTCTCAAGACAGAGAGCGGAGAGGTGGGGGTGTATGGGAACGGGAAGGGAGGGAGAGGGGGAGGGGAGTGACATAACCTGTGATGTGGCCTCCGCCACCACTAGCAATGTCTCGTCACTACTGACACATTGGGAATAAACAACTGGGTCGTTTCTTTCTACATCTATTGTCAGCAGTGCGTGTGTGGCAGCAGAGAAGTTGGTAACGACCAACTGACCGTAAAAAACCTGTCAATCACACCAGACAGAAAACAATGTAAAATGTTGCCTGAGCGAGATTGCGCCACTCTGACTGCATAAATGCACACATACTTGTTCACACCAAGTGCAAGCAATATGAATAAATCTTAGTCAACTCAACATGATGTCTGAAACAAATACAAATACGTACGCATAATGCCAGGATTAAATCAGTTTTCCATTAACCAAGGGCGATTAGATTATACACAAACTTAATCAGCGCACATGACTAGAAAAATAGGAACGTACTCTTTCCAGGTAGGTACGCCGAGCAACACAATGTCCAACTTTCTCCAGACGCGTTAGCAGTTCGGGTCACATGCAGCATTCGCATGCGGGGGACCCTGCCAGGGGAAAAGGCATGGGTTAACGACACGTAGAACGCCGCAACATGGCTCCCCAAATTTGTGTAACACAAATTTCGTGCTATCTCACTCTTACAATCTAGAAACCAAAATTAATCAATAGGGGACTTCCCGAGATGCCAAGCTTATTTGGCCTTATGATCTAATGTAACAGCAAATATCGTCCGACGTCCGCACTCTGCGGCACACTGGCGTTTCACACGCTCGTCTCGTCTCCGTCACACCGCTAGATGTCGGAGCATCGACCGCACTAGTTCTATTACGGTCGCCGTACGCTGCTACGAGTACCACTAAGGTCACCGCTCGATCGGTGCCGTCGCCTTTCTCACACATGGCCGACCTTACACATTCGGCACTTGTCAGTTACTGGGAGTTCTCGCTCCCCGACTGGGAATCATCCCGGTCGCCAATCAGTAGAATCACACGATTCACTGGTCGATCGTAGTTCGTAGAACCGATCCGCACGCACACCTTGCGGACCAGGCCGTCTCCGCTCGGATACACACTGGTGATGCGGCCGAGCGGCCACCGCGAGCGCGGCTCGTCGTCGTCGATGACGGCGACGATGTCTCCAGGCTGCAGATTTGGGTACCGATGAACCCATTTCTGCCGCTCCTGCAGGGTCGGCAGGAACTCCCGTCTCCAGCGCCGCCAGAATTGGTCCGCCAGAAATTGGACACGCCTCCAGCGCTGACGCACGTAGAGATCGGATTGGGAGAAACTACCGGGATAAGGTACTGCTACTCTACTTTTCAGTGTTAGTATTTGATTGGGGCTGAGGGGCAGGAGCGTATCGTCCGACGCTCCGCTGAAGTACGAGATCGGACGACTGTTGACGATCGCCTCGCACTCCACCAGCAACGTCCGGTAGCTCGTCGTCCATCGTGTGGCCATGGGCCACGATGAGGGGAGTTAGAACTGACCTCACGCTCCTGATCATGCGCTCCCAAACTCCTCCCATGGCGCTTGCCTGTGGCACGTTGAATTTGAACTCGAACCAGTCACAATCTTTCTTGAGCAGCTCTCCTCTGATTCGGATGTGGTCGTCCTCCTTCAGCGCCTCCTCCAACATGTTCTTGCCTCCGACGAAGTTCGTCCCGTTGTCGCAGAACAGCTTCCGAACGGGACCCCTTCGACAGACGAGGCGCCGAAACGCGTTCAGGAAGGAATCTGCTGAGAGGGAACAGACGGTCTCAAGGTGGATGGCACGGGATGCCAGGCAGCTGAAGAGGATACCCCAGCGCTTCACTTGGCTCCTCCGCTCCTTGACATAGAAAGGTCCGAAACAATCGACCGCGCAATGGCTGAAAGGCTCCACCGGCTCAGTCCTCTCAAGTGGCAGATCCGCCATCTTCTGCATCCGTGGACTTCCGCGAAGTTTCTTGCACGTGACGCAGCCTAGAATGTAGCTGCTTACCGCGCGGCGACCACCAATGACCCAATATCCGGCCGCACGGAGCTCGTTGAGTGTCGTACCACGCCCACCGTGGCACGTGTTTTCGTGGCACGCCTTCACGATCAGCTCGGTCACGTGAATCTTTCTTGGGAGGATCACCGGGTGGGCAACCTCCTTTGACAGCGTGCTGTTCTTCATGCGCCCTCCGACACAAATCAGTCCGTCCTCTCGGAGGAACGGATCCAGTCTGTAGATCGGGCTTTTGCGTTTTATAAACTTGTCTTTGCCCGTGATTCTGTTCTTGGCTGCCTTCTCTTTGGCATTTTCTTCGCGTCCACATTCTTCGTAGTTTCCTTCTTGTTGCTGTGACGTCAGCAGGCTCAGCTCTTCTGTGAACGCTTCTTTCTGAACAGATTTCAAAATCGCTTGTTCTGCTCGCATCAGGTCGTCTACGGTCATTCGTTCGACCGGCACGTACGATCTGACGTCCGTCGTGCCTCGATTCTGACTTGGTTTGCTGGCCAAGATGGTCATATAACGCCGACACAAGGCTACCGACTTCTTTGCTCGGTGCCAGCTGGAGAAGTAGCCGAGGCGCTTCGCGAGCGAGTGGTCTCCACTGGATATCGGGGGCACGTCGTCATCTTCACCGGATACAACTCTCTGTTCTTCGTCGAGCTCGCCATTTGGTTTGGTTGCATCCCCCTCACATTTTCCTTTGGCGTCACCTTCAGTGTCTCCTCGTTTCGCCCCCTGGGAGATCCTTCCCTCGTCGTCTTCACAGGACTTCAAGACCGTGGTTCGGTATGAAGAACGTTTCACTTCTGAATCGTCGTTTGGGACGATGAACTCCTGCTCTGTATCGGGGATGTTGACATCTGCTGTAAGCAGTTCTGGACCATGCCACCACAGGTTGCTGGTGAGCAGTTCTCTCGCGCCGACTCCTCGGGAGGCTAAATCCGCTGGATTGTTCTTTGACTCGATGTAATGCCACTGCCGAGGCTCTGTGTGCTGTCGGATGTATTGGACCCTGTTGGCTACAAACACGTGAAATCGCTTCGCGTCGTTGCGAATGTAGCCGAGAACTGCGCGGCTGTCAGACCAGAAGTATTCCTCATAGTCCCGGATTGACAGCTCGCTTCTGAGAAAGCAGCTTACTTGTACAGAAATAACGGCACCAACCAGCTCAAGTCTCGGGATGGTGACCGCTCTCACGGGTGTGACTCTGGACTTCGCCATTATCAGCGAGCTGGCGATCCTGTCGTCCTTGAAGACGGTCCTGAGGTACGAGCACTGGCCGCATCCATCGTAGCTCGCGTCCGAGAAGTGATGCACTTCGTACTTCTTCACTTCACTGAGCTCCTCTGAGACGAAGCAGCGGGGAACCTTGAGCATGGACAGCAGCTCAACGTCTTCCTTCCAACAACGCCACTCTTCCTCCATGTCCTCGGGAATTGTGTCGTCCCAGCTGTACTTGTCCACGCACAGGCGTTTGAGAATGTTCTTCGCCACGAGAGTGCATGGGCTGATAAATCCAAGGGGATCATAAATCGCGCTCACTGATGACAGAATACCCCTTCTCGTCGCTGGCTTGCTGGGAAAACTGACGTCGATACACAGCGAGTCTTCCTCGGTCTCCCACTTCAGGCCCAACACGCGTTCAAGAGGGAGAGGCGTCTCTCCGTCCAGTGCCAGCTGACAGCTCTTCGACAAACTGTACACCGGCAGTGCTTTCAAAACGTCTCTGTCGTTGGAGATGAACTTGTGGAGGTTGAATCCTCCCTTCGAACACAGACTCACCGCGTCCCGTATCAGTCGGACCGCGTCCTCCGATGTTTTGGTCGAAGCCACTCCATCGTCGATGTAGAAGTTCCTCTCCACAAAGGACGCAGCTTCGGGTGAGTACTCCTCTCCGTACATCTGAGCTGTCTTCTTAAGAGCAAAGAGTGCAACTGCTGGAGAGCTCGTAGCCCCGAAAAGGTGAGTGCACATTCGGTACTCTCGCGGCTGCTCGTCGAGATCTCCGTCGCTCCACCAGAGGAACCGGATCAGGTCTCTGTGTTCAGGGTTGACGCGCACTTGGTTGAACATGCCTTCGATATCTCCACTGAACGCCACAGGGGCTTCCCTGAAACGCACGAGAATGCCAATGAGGCTGTTGTTTACATCTGGTCCCTGGAGAAGACGAGCGTTCAGGCAGTCATCCTTGCAGAGTGCGCTGCAGTCGAACACGACCCTCAGTTTTCCTTTCTTCTCATGGTACACACCGTGGTGTGGTACGTAGTTGACCATGCCGTCACGGTCTCTCTCCTCGTCCGGAACCGGTTCAGCGTATCCTTTCAGGAAGAGATCACTCATGAAGGCCGCGTAGTCAGTTCTCAGCTTGTCGTCTCGAAGGAGTCTTCTTTTCAGTTGGGCTAGTCTGGCTTCTGCGAGATCTCTGTTGTTTGGCATTGACTGGCCTTCTTTCAGCGGAAGGGGAGCTTCGAAGTGGCCTCCTTCTTCTTTGTGCATGCCCTCTGTCATGACCTTGACAAACTGTATGTCTTCTTGGGACATCGCCTTTTCTTGTCTCTGATCAAAGAAGCCACTGTCGAAGACCTGTTGAACCTCTCGCAAGCTGACATCCTTGACTCTGGTCCGGTAGGCAAAGTGACACAACTTCTTGCGCTCATCACCCGAGCCGACGTAGAAGCATCCCTTCGGTTCGCTCTTGCTGATGAGTCCTACTATACCCCAGCCCAGAAGAGTACGCACAGCCCAAGGATCGTCTTCTTCTCCTGGGATGACTTCCCTGGGCTTGATGATGCGCGGACAGTTGACGCCCAGAAGGAGTCCGATGTCCGCGTCAGATTGTGGCACGGGAATCTTGTCTGCCACTTGGTGAAGGTGCGTCCACTTGAGGCATGTTTCAGGTCTGGGTATCAGTGTGTGATCTGCTGGGATCTCCTGGCGTGAATACAGAGTGGGAAGGTCTACCTTCTCACCGTTCTCCAGGCTTTCGACGACGAGTCCTGACGTCGACATGCACTTCAGTATCTTGCGACCATTCATGGTGCTCAGCTCCAGCTCGACTTCGGTGGCTTCTGGATGAAGGGCGTCACAGAGAGCGTCAGTCACAAAACTCGCATCCGACTGCGGGTCGAGCAGTGCA